TCTCAATCCATCAAATTCCATTTCAACTTTTTGCATGTGATGTGTTTGATTTAGAGCTCAATCTTCAATTCACACAATAATACTTACTCACAGACAGGGACAGGACAGCTATATATATTGGGTTTAATTCTATCTATCTGCATCAAGTGAATTGGCTAGACTAGAGGACCACAACTTTGCTTTGGATTTGGAGGCGCATGCAAAATATGAAGAAACGAGTTCTAACTTTCAAAATATACAAATTCAGATCAGAGGATATATAATATATGTACACATTACAACAACAAAGAATCAAATCAAGTGTTCGTCGCGTTGAACATCCTTACATATTTCATTTCGTATTTATTCAAATCAAACATGCACATGAATTTACTTGTTTGATCTTGAGACCCTTCGGATCAAAACCATCAAACAAAGCACACGATACAACACAAAGAACCCAATCAAGATGTAGATGTTGCTCCACCTCTGCCTTTCATGCAGCCCTCTCTTCTGCAACACATCGCCTCCCGTCACCATGCACTCTCTGTTATTACCATTATTCTCTTCGTACCATATCAAACACCTTGACACAAGGCAGCCATACTCATTGATCAGGAGGGCGTCAAGGGCATACTTGTACATAGAAAAGAAGTGCATGAAGAGCCAGTACTTGGGCATGTTATCTTTCGAGATGAAGTAGCCAGAGAAGAGAAAAAACCCACCCAAAAGTATCGTCACCAGTGATGTCCCGGCAATGTAGTTGGGTGCCAGAGAACTCAAGAACAGTACGAACGAGTTCGCCATTAGAACTATGACCCATATGACCAGAACAAAATAAGCAAACGCTTGCCAAGACGCACAAAGACCCACCAAGAAATAGACCGAGACAGAGTAGATGATCGCGATTGCGAGCAAGTAAGGCAGGAAAACCAGAGTGTTTGCGATTAGATAGGAGGAAAGCCTGTAAATCCCACCAGACGTTTCTCTTAGGAGGATCGGCCTTTCGTTGATGAAGATTGGGAGGGTTTCGGTTGTGGAGGAAAGCAGGAAAGTGAGCGTGAAGGCGAAGAGACCAAACCTCTTCTCAATTCCCTGCTTGTCGAACCCAATGTTGATGTAAATGGTTCCTAAAACCAGACCCACAAGAAGAGCCTCCAAGGTGTTTGTTAAAAGAAGCTGTCTTGTTCTGTAAATGATTTTCCAAAACCGGTTGTAAAGAGCCAAAACCTCTTGGATTCGAGAGCTTTTGTATCTCGTGACTTGTCTGGTTGCCTGATTATCTTGATCAGAATTATGAGGATTAGCTGTAGAACTAGGAATATCAGGAGGCGATGATGGTACAGATGTAATTGGTTTTAAGGCAGGGAGGCGGTTGAGAATTTCCATGGTGTATTCTAAGGCATTGAGTTGTGGAGGGACTGTGAAGCCGTTAGAGAGCAAAAAAGCTTCAAGAGAAGAGAGTGTTCCATGGTGCACAACTGTCCCTTTGGACAGCAAGAGGATTTTATCAATGGCTGAGAGGATTTTGTTGCTGGGTTGGTGAATAGACAAAACCACAGTGCGGTGACGCGAGGTGCAAATGGATTTGAGGGTCTGGATTACGTTGAAAGCAGAGGTGCTGTCAAGACCCGAGGTGGGTTCGTCGAGAAGTAGCACGGCAGGGTCGTGGAGAAGGCTCAGGCCTATTGAAACACGTCTACGTTCACCGCCGGACAGACCATGGCCAAGGCGAGTGTTGGCCAAATGCGTAAGCCTGAGCTCAGTGAGCAGAGAGGCGACAACGTCTGCAATGTTTGTTGGGCTGGAATTGGGAACCAGGAGGCTTGCGGCGAAAGCAAAGGTTTCGAAGACGGTGAGCAGCGGAAGGCATGCATCGTGCTGAGGGACGTAGGCAGAGAGTTTGCGGAATGAGGAAGGGTTGATAGGGGAAGAATTAAGAAGGAGAGCGCCGCCTGTGGGCGACGTTCGAGCGGCTAGGATGTCAAGGAGAGTGGACTTTCCGGCCCCGCTGGGGCCTACAATGGCGAGGATTTCGGAGGGGTAGGCGGTGAGGGAGATGTCTTTGAGGATGTAAGTGGGTGTGGGGGCGGTGCATGGCTTGAAGAGGAAGTGAAATGGGGAGAATGTGGTGGTGGTTGTGGTTGATTTGGTGTAGGAAATGGAAGAGGCTGTTAATTCGTAGGTTTTGGAGAGTGGTAGGGGTGCTGGTGCGTCTGCTTCCATGGAGTTTTAGGAGAGAGAGAGAAAGAGAAGTTGGAGAGTTGAAGTGGTGAAGAGGGAGAGATGCATGTAGTGGAGATATGATATTGGTTTCCTTCCATATGAGTTTGGTGTATAAAGCTGGCGGAGGACGACAAGTTAAAAAGGTGTGAATTAAAATTAATTAAGTAATTTTGGGGATTGAAAAAATTTATTAGAGTTTATTATCAAACACAAACCAAGACAAAACCTTAATTATGCAAGAATCATCTAAGTAAGGGACCTATTTGGCTTTATAGTATTTTTCTTCTTAATATATACAATCTCCTCAACTTCTCATTTTATTAATAAAATTGTTTTTTAGCCACTCTGTGACTTCACTGTGGCTTCTATTATATGTTACAAGTTACTCATGCACAGTAACTAGGATCATTATACACCAATGACTGTTGTTAGTTTGCCGTGGTTAGGCAAATTGTGGCCTTAGCCCCTTTTTCTAGTAGTTGTGATTGTAATTGAAATCTTATTCTCCTCACTATTGTCCTACATATTGATCTCCAGCTCTACGAACAATTCAATGGACGATTTATCTATACTCTAAAAGTTTTTTTTTTTTAAATTTTATAAAAGGAAAAAAAAAGAAAGTAAACTTGTCGTGATCTAATTTTAATTAAGGTTAGTGTGTCAAGTAAAAACTTTGTCAATGATGATGATCATTGTTTCAGATCTAGTACCTGCAGGGTTGACGGAGTAAGATCACATCTTGATGTACTTGAAATCAGTAGCATACAATTTTCCAGCTCAATAGACAGTAAAAAACGATGGGGAAAACAAAAGGCAAACTGCAAGTAGGTAGAAGAAATTGGGTGGGGGCAGAGGCAGTTGTGAAGTAGTAGAGTTGGTAAATTGGGCAATGTGTGTGCTGGTTGAACAAAAACAAAAGCAAAAGCGATTATAATTTAAAATTGGGGGAAATCGATGAAGTTAAAGATACTGAAAAGGGATCCTCTTGTTGTAATTCACGAGTCTGCTACTGTGCTCTTCTGTCTGTCATATGCTTTTGTCTTAGAACCCTTCTTAGCCTATTGGATCGAGGATGAGGCTGCCTTCACTTCACGACATGCTTTGCATTAAATAGCTACACGTCCGTGACCAAATCCCTTCCTACACTACACTACACTGTACACACATGATGATGCATTTGCATATTTACTTATTATTTTTTGCTTCATGCATAAGGCTTCATATATTTTTTTTGTTTTTTCGTCGACGAGGCTTCATATTTGATATAAACACCATAGGCCATACACGACGATAACCAGGACTAGTTGCTGCATGCATCATGCATGTCACCAACTTCAAATGTTTTTTCTTTTTCTTTTTCAGTTTTCAAGTACTGTACTGATTAACATTTATTTGAAATTAATAATCCGCACTAAATATTATTTTTGGATTATTCCGAGTCTATACGTTTAGAACTGATGCATTTACGTGCATTTTTTAGACAAATTTGTATTAATGATTTAATATTTCTCAAAAGTCTGTCAATGTCAGTTAAGTAGGGTAACTAATACTAATCAGAGTCGGCCAGAAAGCGAAAGCACTTGAGTATGTACGAGAGAAACCCATGCAAATGCAGGCCCGATTGCAAATGAGCTTTTATTTCAGGAAGCCTCAAATTAGGTTAGCATAAGGCTATTATGGTAAATATGGTCCGATGACCCGTCTTTCTTACTTTTTATTTTTTTTGGGGGGTTTTATTTTATTTAATGTTAAAATAAAACTTCATGATAGACACGAATCATAAATTTGCAAGAAAGCACTAGTATACTTGTGGGGGGGTCGACGCACCTTAGAATAATTATATTTATCATAATCAAAACATTTATTTACGCGTCTTGGATGTGAAGAAACAAAGAGCCAATGGTGTATTCATGATACTTGATTAATCTCATGAAGCTTAGCCCCTAAGACCAGCCACCCAAAGGCCAAATTAGATCATCATCACACATTCAGTGAGATTAACAATTTAAAATGAGTGAAAATAATAAATACTAGGGTTTTAGTCTTTTTACACTCAAAAGTCATTTTCCATATAAGTATTTTTTGGCTTATTTAGAATCACTCACAAACGAACGCTTAAATCTTTTGGTTAGCTAGCGTGGTCATGTGATGATACTCATTCAACTACATTACATAAGTTTTTCCTGAATTAAATATTATCCAGTTGATGATTTTGATGGATAATTTTGGTACAGAAGACAACTCAGTTGATCCTAGAAAGAAAAGGTTATATGTTATATCGAATATTAATTTACATAAAATTTCATGACAGGTAACTTATGAGCACCCAAAAGTCTGGATGGCAAGAGAATACCCTTGTCTTCCCCCACAAACTGCGACTATTTCAAACTTGAGCTACTCAACTTCGTGTCCTTGTATTTGTTTGCCCTACATCATGCCTTCTGCATGCGTGAAATATTATATTCCATGTGACATATTTGTGATGGAAATTTCAAACCAATTTCTTTCATCTCTCCCTCACAACTTCACAAGTCACACCCACCACCACCATCCTCAGCTCAGCTGATCATTACTGAATTCTGAGTCAACTCATCCGATTCTTATCAACTTACTTACTATGTAATGTATGTATACCAGTTTCAAACATTAGATCCTAACGGCTAAACATCTTTATAAAAGATAAAACACATTAAAGGAAACTTGGCTGGAAAGGCGTATAAATAACAACTAGCATGTATATGTAGGGCCAGCACCCATAACTATAGTCAAATTCTTATAAATAACACTTTCCTTTCCTTGTAGCGCTACCAAACATATTCAAACCTAAAAAAAACGCTTCTTGTTCCTATTATTCTAATCCGACCCAGAACCATGACAAGGGGCAACGAAGATTCACGGAGGAAGAGAAACAGATGCTTCCAATACATCGCTGGCGGGATCATATTACAAACCATAATCATAGTTCTGTTTGTGGTTTTCGTCATGCGTATCAAAACTCCCAAAGTCCGTTTAGACTCGGTTGCTGTCGACTCACTCACCGCCAACTCCAGCCCGTCGTCTCCTTCCTTTAAGGTTCAAATCAATGCTTTGGTTACCGTCAAGAACAAAAACTTTGGGCACTACAAGTTCGAGGGCAGCAAGGTCACTTTCTCGTACAAAGGCACTGCGGTCGGGGAGGGCACTATTGCCAAGGCTAAAGCCAAAGCTAAAAGGACAAAGAAGATAAACGTGACAGTGTCGTTGAACTCGAACAAGGTTTCAAGCCACTCTCAGTTGAGTAGCGATCTGAGTTCTGGGAATTTGACGTTGACTGCCTACGCCAAGTTGGATGGGAAGGTGCATCTCTTCAAGGTCATCAAGAAGAAGAAGTCTGCTAACTTGAACTGCACCGTACAAGTTGATACCAAGGCCAAAGTTGTCCACGTTTTGACTTGCAAGTGAAATCAATACAGTCCTTCCTGTTGTTGTTGTTGTTGTTTTGGGTAATTTTAATTTCATTTTTATGGATTTAAACTTTTAGGTTTATTGGTTGTTGTTGAATATAATATTTCATGGAGGGGCAGCGTATGTTAAGGCTTTATTGTATTGAATTGAAAATCTATCAGATTTACCATGTAACGTTAACATCAAATGGCCCACCGGCAGAGATGCCTGTATGAATATTGTCGCACTCGCACAGAAAAGGTTATTCCTCTCCTCAGCCTAAAGCATACGCTACAGGAGCAAAATTCATTTCATTTTTACAATCACAGCCAGCCTTAGGAGACACATGCAATCAAATGCATACATATATCACAAGATAAAGTACTTTTTTCTTCTAAAGTTTCAATGTCTCTTGGTGAAGTACTACTGTTTCTGGGTTCCATTATCCATAGATGCATCTGAATTTGATGGGATATATAGTAAAATATTATAAAGAGAACAAATTTTTTTGGAGTGGAAGCAATCAAGTCAAGCTTTCTGCATGGTCCTCCCTCCCTACTATACTATCAACAAACCCATATGACACGCATGTGGGTAACTAATTTCTTGCTCACTGATGATGAGTGAGAAATGCGTAACATATTCCCTGAATACTTTTTTGGGTAAGGCATTCAAATACATTAAGGCTTTTATTATTTGTTGTTGGTTTGAAATATGATGAGCCCTTTTCTTTTCCCGGGTCACAAAAATATGATGAAAAAGTTAATGATATGTTATGTCAAACTAGCTGGCCACCATGTAGGCATGTATACCTTTGCTTGCTCCTCACCTCAAGCATCTTCATAAAGCTCCTCCTGCTTCACGCCAAAGCTCCGACTTAAAAATCTGAGCCCAATATTCAAATGGACTGGAAACCGATTGTCTCAGCCCAAAACTTTCACCAACCCATCAAATATAAACTCAACTTTCACCAGCCCATAAAATTAAAATGCTCTACCGCACTCTCATATACTTGAAACAAATGGGAAATTGAAATTTTTTTTGAAAAAATTGGGTACTATTTATTTTAAAAACTTAAAAAACCGCGTATAGCTGGACGGCTATACTATTTTTAAAAATAAATTTTAAAAAACCGAATATAGCCGTGCGGCTGTACTATTTATTTAAAAGGGACCCGCCGAACCCCTATGTGTCAAACAGGGTCGCCGCACGGCTATACTATTTATATTAAAAAAAAACAGAGTACAGCCGACCGGCTATACGATTTTATTTTATTTTTTCAAAAACTGCGTATAGCCGAACGGCTTATGATTTTTAAAAACAAACTTAAAAAACCGAGTCTAGCCGGTCGGCTATACTATTTCTTCAAAAAACCGACTATAGCCGCCCGGCTATACTATTTCTTTTAAAAAAGAGACTATAGCCGTTCGGCTATACTATTCTATTTATTTAAACAAAAAAGGGACCCGCCAAGTGCTTAGGCATCCACGTGTCAAAAATAGTAGCCGCTCGGCTATACTATTTTTAAAAACTGAGTATAGCCGTCGGCTATACGATTTCTTTTTTTTATAAACTGAGTATAGCCGCGCGGCTATAGTATTTATTTATTTATTTTTCAAACAAAGACCCACCTAGCGCCTAGGCACCCACATGTCAAACTAGCTGGCCACCATGTAGGCATGCATACCTCCTGCTTCACCCCAAAACTCCGACTTAAAAATCTGAGTCCAATATCCAAACGGAATGGAAACCGGTTGTCTTTGTCCAAAACTTTCACCAACCCATAAAATTAAAATGCTCTACCGCACTCCCATAAACTCGAAACAAATGGGAAGTTGACATAATTCGACCTCAAGTTGGGGTTATGACTTGTTCATACTGTTCGTACAAGGATGAAGAATTTGTCGTTGAACTTGTACAGATACACAAGACCAGAAGAAGAGTTTCAACCCTCATTTTTTAAACGCGTCGCAAATGAAGCCTTTTCAATTGAAGGAGGCTTACGCTTAGGCTATGTTAGCCGCCTTTGGGATAATAATATTCCTTTTTTTTTTTAATAGCTAAGATGAGTTTAACCAACTCTTCTCTCGTGACCTTTTCTCTTCTCTTATAAAACGCATAAATTTCCTGCTTGTGACCTTTGCGGTTGTGTTTCTGGGTATCATAATCCCTATCAACGCACCTAAATATAATAATACTTGGAACAGCTATGGTGACAATTAATAATAAACAAAAATTATACAGTTAATTTTTTTTTTTTATACATCTATTGCAATTTGATTAGGCCGTGACTGGTATCCTCGTGTGATTATATCCTGATCTATAGAAGGTTCTGCAACTATTAGGACAAGTATAATTTTGGTTTGAAAAGTATTTACGGTACACGCCATAAAATATGCCTGAAAAGTCAAAGTCAAAGTCAAAGTTCAAAGCCGGCTTCCGTGTTTGGGACAAGAAAAATACAAGAAACAAGACCTTGCTGAAAACTTTGTCAAAATAAGTGAACTCTCAATCCTCCTCCTAACCACTTCGAAATATCTACTATTCTGATCTTAGCATATATCTATAAATACTTGCTCAAACCTCAAACCCACCAAAAGAAAAAAAAGGAAAACAAATCCTTGTGCAGCTAGAAGTTGAAAGAAATAAAAATGGCAGCTGAGAAAGAAGCAACATCACCCTACCCTTTGGTCCCGGCAAACGGCTACATCCGGAGCGATCAAGAATCTGCAGTGACAGCAGACCCCGCAGAGCTCAAAACAAAGAGGCGCATGAGGTGCCTATTTTACGTTACTGTCTTTGCCGTGTTCCAAGTCATAGTCATAACAGTCTTTGCACTCACTGTTATGAAAATCAAAAGTCCAAAATTCCGAGTTCGATCGGCCTCCTTCAGTGACTTTGAGGTTGGCAACGGCACCAGCCCTTCATTTAACTTGGACATGGACGTTAAGTTTAGAGTGAAGAACACCAACTTTGGACACTTCAACTACGAAGATGGCATCGTCGAATTTAAGTACAGAGGCACCAGAATTGGGCAGGTGAATGTGTACGAGGCCAGAGCCAGAGCTCGATCGACCAGAAAGGTGGCGGACTCACTGAAGCTCACTTCAAATGGCTTGTCTGCCAACTCTCAGTCTCAGTTGGCAAGTGATATTAGCTCTGGGATAATTCCAATTACCTCCGCGTCTAAATTGGATGGGAAAATACATCTGATGAAGGTGATCAAGAAGAAGAAGTCTGCTCGTATGAATTGCACCATGGAAATTGTTCTTGCAACGCAGTCGGTCCAAAATATTGTCTGCAAGTGATCATAATATTAATCTGTGTATAATATTTTATATTTTATTTTTTAAATGCCTATTCTTGTTATTATATTTATTTTGTGCGCTACGGACATATTGTATGTGGATGTTGTGGTCTCCAATAATTAATGTGCCTGTGCAAAATTCTGTTGAATATTGAATTGGATATAATGTTTGGGGTGTAATAATCTTGGGGTTCATTAAGGGTTTGGGCTGTCATGGTATAAACCACGTGCACGAACACAAACACGAACACCATTAAAGGATGACTGCAGGTAAGATCTCTAACATTAGATGTCAAGGTTTGGGAACCTACAATTGTGGACTTATTTCGCAACTTGGGTAATGCTTATTGTAACTCTGGTCGAAACTTGAATGCTAAGCGTAAGATGTTGAAACCCCAATTATGAAGAATGTCTAGATGCATGATCTTTCAAGTACTTTTAGCCTACAATTAAAAATAATGATTCATTAAAGACAGATTCTTTAATCCCTTCCTAACTGTCGGATTTATCCAAGTAATGTGCTTTGTGGTATTAGAAGTTATGTGTATTGCTGTGTAATTTATGTTGGATGTAAATCTTTTGCAGAGCGGATGGCCCAAAGGTCACTAGGCTTCAATTTCAAAACAAGGCCATCACCAGTATAGCCGCGCGGCTATACTGTATAAATAGCATATCTTAGTAGTATAGCCGCGCGGCTATACACTAGAAATAGAATATTTTCCTCAGCTTCTTTAGTTTAATATATGTAATTATTAATTGTGTTTTATTTATTGGTTATTTAGTAAATAATTAGTATTTAAATATTTTACTAATTTTATAAATTACTTAATAAATAGTAATTAATAATCGTGTGGGAAGACTACGACTTAATAAATAGTAATTAATACACAACTACTAATGAAGGTAGTTAAATAAGGCTAAGATATCATTTAATTACTAAGAAAATTATTTTAACAAAAAAATTGTAGTGAAAAACCTCTGCCGACGAAAGTTCGTTGGCAGAGGTAAATTTCGTCGGGAGAAGTTTAATCCAGCAAATATTTGCCGGCATAGACATGCCGACCAAATTTCATTGGGAAAGATTTTTTTTTTTACATTTTTAAAAATTATAAAAAATAATTTCTTTACTCTTTTTTTTCCCAAATTCTTTTAGTTAATATATGTAATAAAGTAATATCTTAGCTTTTTAAAATTACTTTAATTAGTAATTATTTTTTTGGTGAATATTTAAATATTTTAGTTAATTTCATAAATTACTTAATAAGTAGTAATTCATTATTTTAAATTATTTTGTGGGCTTTGTTTTTTTATTTTTATTTATGCAAAATTAGTTTGGGTAAATCCAATTCATTATTAATATGGTTCGCTATTCGTAACTCAAAAATCCTATATGGATTCTCGAATTTAGAATAAAAAATTTAGTCGTAATCTTCATCTCTCTTCCCTTCTCTCTCTTTCTTTCTCGCTTTCTTCTTCATCACATGAATTGCACCATGGAAATTTTTCTTGCATCGCTGTCTGTCCAAAATATTGTCTGCAAGTGATCATAATATTAATCTATGTATAATCTTTTATTTTTTATTTTTTAAATGCCTATTCTTGTTATCATATTTATTTTGTGAACTATGGACATCTTGTTTCTACATAGAGTAATCCTACACTTAACACATTTTTCTCCCACATTTATATACCATATGATGTGGCATGTCCATATCATATGCCACATCAATTAAATCAATAAAGTATATTTTAATTAATAAAATTAGAAAAACAAATAATGGAATAAATCATAAAAGAAAAGAAAATGTTAAATAATTTTAATTGATGCGGTTGTCCACCTCAACTGCCACATAAGATGATATGAAAATGTGGTATATAAATATGGTAAGAGTAGCATTATTGTTCTACATATTGCATGTGATCTCTAACTAACGTGCCTGTGTAAAATTCTTGTAATTAGTGGTTTTTCACATGTTGAATAATATTGAATTGGATATAATGTTTGGGCATGGACTGAAGTAGGCCCATAACTCAGACCCAAAAAGAAGCCTGTCCATCACACCTCTCCATTGGGTCTAATAATCTTGGGGTCCATTAAGGGTTTGGGCTGTCATGGTATAACCCATGTACATGAACACAAACACGAACACGAACACGAACACAAACACGAGTACAGCTATGCTATTGATACACTGGGGAGTTTAACATATTGTTTAAACATTTCGGATAGCTTGAACGATGATTGAGACACATCCAATGAACTGGAGAGCTGCAAAGAAAATCTAATTCTAATCTTAATGTTTCCTAAGAATGTTGTTTTGCCCTAAAAAGAAAGCTATAATTGGAAAATGAGCTCACCTGATAGAAGACATGATGCATATGACATAACGCAAACGCAATATTTGACACTAAATATTTGTGACCACCACCAGACAATATCAGTGGAGGAAACAGAGCAGATCTATGAACCTCGGATGAAAATATGATGTCGGGTGTTTGTTGTGTAGTGTTTCTTGGTGCATTGCATTCATCTACTTATAATTAAATCACATTTCTCGAGTGTAACAATTAAACGAAACCTGTCGTTTTACTGCTCCAATCCAACTGGTGCAAATGCAATGAACAGTAACATTTTGCCTCGACTTGCAACCCTTTTCTGTTCTGATTTTGGAGTAACTTGTTGAAGAAAAATAAAATGCCCACCCAAATAATTAATCATAAACATCATTCATTCCGAGTATCTTGTCTCAACCAACCCTTAAGCAATCTGAGAGTTGTGTTCATGTGTTACGTTGTATTATGTTCAAAAACTGGACATCAACCTCATAAATTATAGCTTTATTATTTGTTAATCTTATAAACTAAACCATCATTTTAGTAACTAATACATTACATTCTATCGTAATTATGTGTTCACTGATCAGTCAAAATACCAACAGAACCAGCTACTGTTTATAATCCTGTTGAAAAAAATATTACAAGACAAAGATTTAACCTCTTTTTGGCACATGCATGTTGCTTTGGGATTTTTCTGAGTGGAACAAGTTTGGTGAGTTGAATGGTGAGTTGAAGACAACTCAACACACAGAGATTTTGGTCTGAAAACTGATGTGATATGAATGTATGAATGATAGTGGGCCTCCTACTGCTGCCGCTCACGAGACTTGGCTCGTGACTTTAAAAATCCAGCACCTCTTTATCTTTGCTGGTCTTTCTTAATTGCGAAGTTGAAACTTACCCCATTGCATTTGCATTGCAGCTCTACCTCGTTCTTGTTGTCTAGTCTGTGTGGTGTTGTTTGTCTTTTTTCATATGGTGCAATGCAAATGGGGTTTCTTTGTCAGCTCTGCAATGTGGTTCACCGTGAAGTTTGCATTGGTGTCTGAAATGGGCCACAATATTTCTGGCATTTCTTGTCATCATCATCATGTGTTAGAGAAGTGCAGTGCATGCCCTTCCGTTGGTTTATAATATATCATTTTCATATGCAATTTTATATCCAAAATTCGTACACAAGCTTACATCTGCTATCATATTCCTCTTTTTGGCACATTTGATATTACACAAGTATTACTTTTGTTTTCATTTATGACTAAAAACAAACAGTAACTTCTAAGTTTTCCATTCAAATTTGAAACTTGGATTCTCCAATCTGCCCAAAAATGGACGTCCTTCCTTGGAGAAAAACTTAGTTGCATATGCCCGACCAATAAGGCTATGACATGCGCTCTTGCTATCTCCATGGCATGGAAGTCTTTCTCCCTCCCTTCCCCTGACAGGAAGAATATCATGCTGGTTGGCCAGAGAGAAGAGGAGGGGCAGGTAGTGTCAATAAAAAGTTTTGAGTGACATCCATGTTATTATGTCAAAAGTGATGGGAGGCCAGCGCAATTAAAAGAGAAAATGGACATGTATGCATTTATTTATAGTAGTTCCCCTGCTGCAACAAGCAGTCAAAATTGAATTGAATCTCCAACCTACCAAAATCAGATGGGATGGGTTGGACAGAGAGACTGGGAGAGCATCTGCCACTCTGAATGCTTTTTCGCTTTGGAACGAAATCAGATTTTAATAAAAGCAAATAAAATGCTTCTTTTACAATTCAAAAAGTACTTTATAAAAGCAAGAATGCTGTCGGAATGAAATTAACCAGTACATATGCAGGTTGTTGGTCATAATAAATCCTCCCTCACAAACCCTACACACATATGAAAAACCAATGCCAAAAAGAGTGTGGGATGCTATTAACCACACCACCAAAAATTGATCTCCAACAGCCGGTTTTTATGAGTTGCATTAGAAAAAAAAGGAACTAGGAGGATTGATACAAGCATCTGACTGACCTGATTAATATTCCGGCTTCTGTCATTTTCTCCTGGGAAGTGGAACCTCCAAGAAAATGAAAGATGCAGAACCTGTTGAGTCAAATCAATCTTTGAATGCAGAAAATTATGTCACATACGGTTTGATTGATTTATACAGATTTCTCCCATACATTCAAAAGCAACACGATGCTATGCCGCTTGAGAGCGGAGACAAGGGCACACTGATAGATACACAAAACCACAAAAAGATATCATATCGGAGTTTTCTTCAGTTTTTCATAATGACCCATCACTTTACAGACAACAACAGGTGAACCTATGGTTTCACTGGTCTCATCATACATAGCTAAAGCTAAAATATCAAAAATAACCCTACCCTAGCTCAAATTTTCTTTTTTCCTTTGTTTTTACAGAAGCACGTAGAACACACAAAAAGAACAGAGCCCTCATCATCATCCGGTTCTGTTTTTCCCGCGTTTTATCTCTCAAAATCCAATTAACAAAGCTTCAAATTTCAGCACAAACCCCTTCCTCAATGGAGTTTCTCGCTGATTTGTCGTGGAATTCACTTGCAAACCTTGATAACAGAGAAGAATCTGCAAGAAATGTGAAATTTTTGGTTATAATCAAAGCAAATTTGGAGATTGGAATTTGATATTCACTTGATTTGCTAAAAAGAGAGTGATTTATACCAGTAGAGTACGAGTTCATGGACGAAGAATCACTGGCTGACCTTGATAACGAGGAAGAATCTGAAACCAAATTAACTGTTGAACTTAACTGATCCAAAAAGTAAGCTTCAAAATCAAATAAATTTTACTAATTTAAAACAAACTAAAGTAATTTTTCATTCTCAGCACCTCTAGAATTGAATGATCTCTTGCAATGTAGAATGGCACTCTGAATCCCATCATGCTGCAGCAACAGCGAATCGTCTCTCCGTTTCACCTGTGGCGCCACTGCGATCGTCGTGGCCGATTTGCTCTTCCCCAAGTTCTTATAAACAACTCTAATTCCGACAGGGATATTCCCCTGCTTCTCCTTCTTGGGCGAACACATAGATAATACCGGCATAGCAGGAGAACAATTCGGCGATGACATTGGAATATTACCAGAAGGCTTCACCTTCTCACTGCACTTTTTGGAAACCTTCATATAAAGTGGCTTGATTAGGTTCAGGTACTTTTGTATCATATCTTTGGAGAATCGCTCTGTTTTGGAGTCTTCTGAGCTCTGGTTCTGTTGCCTGCTTCCGTTCCTCCTGGAACTGTTTTCTCGGGTCAGCTTAGAAGGGTTTTGATGTTCTTCAGTATTGAGGAGTTTCACACCGAAGAGGTTGCCTTCTTTGGTTTTCTGCTTCTGGGTCTCCATCAAAACTTTGGACTCTGCTTCCCCTGTTTTCTCTGTTTTCTTCGCTGTTGTTTTTGTTGCTTTGGGCTTCTTCAACATGAAAGCTCCAAACTTTGGAGCCGATTTAAGGAGAGCAATTGGGGACTGAGGCTTGAAAATGGGCTCAATGGGGAGAATTTTCCTTTTGGAAATTGGATCAGAAGGCGAGAGAGAAAGGGGCGGTTTGGAAAGACAGGGTTCGGTACAGCCGGCTTTTTTGGCTGAGTCGTTTGATTTTGGAATGGAATCAAGCCTGTTACTTTCCTGCGGGGTTGCTTCATCTGTGCAGGCCTTGTTTGCGTCGTTTTTGTTCATGATATCGAAACTTAATTCCAAGTCGAAGAATGAGTCTTCTTCTTCTTCTTCTTCAACCTCATGGTCTGTTTCAACTAAAGGACTTGGAACTGCGATGGTGGAGGCATTGTTGGTTAAGCGATAAGGGATTTGGTTAATGCAGGGTTTTGATGGGTTTTATACCAGAAAGTAGTGAGAGAGGAGCAGAGGGTAACGTGAGGATATGAGTGAAAAGAGAGCTTTAATAAAATTTCGCTTCGTTTTATGGCGGTGGTTGCGTTTGCAGCATCGAAAGTGGTGTTCGGGGGAAACACAGAGAGATAGAGAGAGAGATAGAGAGGGGCAGGCAATAAAGGTTTTCTTTTGCTTTTGAGAGAGAGAGAGAGAGAGAATACTTTTCCTTTTGTTTTGTAGGTTGGCTGTTTTCATTTACATCTTTGATTACGTGGTTCTAAAAGTAGACACCATCTAGGCTTATTTAGACTATGGGATGGTCTATGAAACGTTTCAGAACTCAGAGCTACGAGCTACGTGTACAACAAGAAGCACATTATATAATACACGTATACTCTTCGCAAATGCAGATTTTCAGACTTGCTGATGAATCGATGCAGAGGTTTTCTTTGCTTTCAATTCTTGGCCCCACGCCCGGTCCCCTTACGCTCCTGCATACTTTGAACTTTGAATTTGCATAATTTTCAGCCAGAACGTGGTTCTTTGTTACGCACAAGTGGACTGCAATTTCCATCTGTACTTTGCCGAGTCAAAGTCTATTTCTACATTTTATTGTCTGCTTCTTGGAATTGTTATTAAAATAAATTTCATGAAGATAAACTCATAGTTGTGATGGAAGTTATAAATGGATTGGTCAAATGATCTTTTTTTCTTTCTAGTAAAAAAGAAAAGCTAACAGATTGGTTAAATGATCTTTTATATCTTTTTGCATCTTTAGGAGGTGGAGCGCGTGATAGTGAAAGGATGATTTCATATGGTGTAGTTCCCAATCTAGTTCTGCTTGTGCAATTGATTTTGGGCATGGAGTAGAGAAGACATAAGGATGGTGACGAGAAACTTCCAAAAAGAATAGATAAAGAGAACGAAAAATGAAAGAGAAAAGGCCAAAAAGAAAAAAGAGAGGAGCAAAAGCAACCAAAAGTTACCCAACGTAGGGTTACGTTACATAAGATATTACACATTTATACAGAGAGAGAGAGAGAGAGAGAGAGAGAGAGAGAGAGAGTCTTAAAAAGATCTGATAAGTCAGAGAATTGGGTTCTTTACAAGGCAAGGCATTGGTGCAGCTGAGGCACGCTTCTTCGGTTGCTCAGGGGAAGGGACCCCTCCCTCTCCTCTCCCTACCTTTAAAGAGAAGAGAGGTCCAAAGGCTTTAATATTCCTTGATGGCCGAAGCAAGCGGGTCTTAAGTCTTTGCAGTAAAAGGTTTGACTTGTAAACTTGGGTTTGTGTGGTCTTGGCCCTTCTTTTGAATGCATACAATGCAGCTGGCCTTCTGCACAAAAAAAATGTTACTAGAGAGAGAAAAGTCCCTCAGTTATTAGGCTCCCGGCTTCAGGCTCCAGGCTCCAGGCTCCAGGCTCCAGCCATGTGAAAGAAAGCATAAAGATAAGATTTGCGATTGTGGTTTAATGGGATTGAATCAGATTCTCAAAGTGCCAAATTCTTTGTCATGTCTTTAATTTTCTGGTAAGTATATTCCTGTAATGTTTAAAAGGCTCGAGGAGAAGCTAGCTCTCTACCTCTCAATCTCAATAGTGGTCCTCAAATTTAGACAATGAAATGAACCATACTATTACTATTACTGTATATGCTGATGCTGTGGTCCTCAACTGCTTCAGTGAAACAATCTCCCTCTGTCTGAATTGTTAGCTTTTATATTAAATTTTCTGGTTTAAAACTTTATGGAATGCACGACACAATCTTGAGCCTTGCCAATGCCATCCTTAGCTGACTTTTTCCCATGTTGTTTTGTTTCATCTTTAAACAGAAAGGCTTAAGCTGACTCTACCCTTTGTCTACAACTTCTCTCTACTCTACATTCATATATTATATATCATATCAACAGTTCATCATCACAAACATTTTTGTCATTTACATTACAGGGCATATAGTTTATTATATCTAGAATGGAATATTGGTCCTATTTTCAATCATGCTGCGTAAATGTTCCAAATTTGTAAGATTCTGCACCCTAAGCTACCATGATTATTCACATCTTTTGATTTAAAAACTGGGAAGGTGAACCCCACCATGAACATATTATGATTTTCCAATTTTTTTTCTTCTTGCTGTCATCTCAGGTGGATCAAAGCAGTCGCCATCTGAATTCCTCTTTCCACTCAATTCTCAAGAGCCTAGTATGACTTTTTGTTGTACTTGTGTTGTGGGTTTTTGAGTGAAGCTCTCTTTGTCTGTTAAAGAATTTCACATGCGGTTGGCTGGTCAAATTATGCCTCGAAGAATTTTGTAACTGGTGGGGTCTTCATGTTTCGTGTCCAAAATCAAAATGCCGGTGTGGTGATGTTGTTGACTTGGCCAAACTTGTTTAGTCTGTAAATCAGCGACCATGAAATACCCATTATATATGAAATGCAGTGAAATAGACATGTAATAGGCAGCGAAGAACATCCATTGGACGTAGAATTTTGTTACCCCCTCATTATAGCATTTCCGTAAGGGATAGGCTTCGAATGACTCGTTTTCATTGAACGACATACAGAAACGAATGGCGATGGAGTTGCTGAAAATGAAACACATCCTCAAATTCAATGCCCGTAGAACCCAATGACTTACATGGGCTTGGGCCTCTTTAAAAGTAACAAAAGTGTAGGACTAGACACTGTGGTGGTTGGACTTGGATCATGGATGCATGCAGCGATGTTATATTCCTATTGACATTGGCAATTATGATGGGATATTCTCCAATTTCTCCTCCTAACCCTCCTAAACCCACCCCTCAGAAGCCTCTGCCCTCTGGTCTCGTGGTTTCAAATACTTTTGCAGCATTCATCATCATTCATTTTCATCTATCAAATCCATATTCCATTGCAGATATTGGTCTTGCTCTGTGTTCCGAACTTCCGAAATATATACAACAGGCTTTCTAAATTCTATGGCATTGGGCCATTGGGGGCCATTGGCATAGGATCATGGGCTATTGTCTACTGTACATGGTGTTCCGTCATGCCAACACCACCCCCTAATACGACTGATGGAACATCAATTTGGAGGTGGAGCCTTTTATTCTCACAGCCAGGTTCCATCTCTCTCTTTTTTTTTTCCCTTTTGCTTTCTCCAAACTTTGTGCTCATTTTCATTATAAATAAAATAAGACATTATTCATTCATTTTTCTTAATCCTAATTAATATTGTTTTTTCTGGTAGGTTTTTTTTACGATGGTATAAATTCATTGGACAGTAAGATTTTCCCAACGTAGCATTCACTAAATTCATAGAATCAAATTCTCAAATGTATATAGACCCTTTTAAAAGCTAAATTATAATATATGATTGCAATATTTAAAATTGAAAGAAATTAAGGCTGTGATATTACAGTGCACCAGAAGCGCCGTAACGCGAGACATTCCCGCCTCGTCCTACTCTTTTCTCCATATACCTGCACCCTTTCCTTTCCTTGGTTTCTGTTATTTTCCAAACCACTCGGTTCGGGCCATCCGCACCTCAGCCTCGGTCCCATCACCGTTTTTCGACGGCTCAGATTTTATCTGCCTTACTTCTCGCTTTAAATTAAAATTACCACCCCCCCAACACCTAAACACACTGATATCAACGCTCTCAAACTCTACATCTCTCTCTCTTTCGCTCCATTCGATCTGAGAAACCATGGCGGAGCCAGAATCGCTGGTGGATAAGATCTACGGCCACCACGCATCGGCGTCTTCATCGGACTCCGACGACGACAAGAAGAAGTCCAAGCACGACGTCGTTAAACCCAAGGTTGAAGACGACAAGCCGTCTACTCACGATTCCGTCAAATCCAAGATTTTTAGGCTCTTCGGTAGAGAGAAGCCCGTTCACAAGGTTTTGGGCGGTGGCAAACGTACTATGTTTCCCCCCTCTCTTTCTCCATAATACATTATTAACACTTATGTTTGCATGAATTCATTGTGTTTTGTTTGATTGATCGGAAAAGGTGGAATTTAAAGGAAACTAAAATTATGAAAGTTAATTTTGGGGATCTGATTGAATAACGACTTTGCTGAATTAATATAATATAAATGTTCATTCCTGAAAAGTGTACGTATAAGTTAGCTGATCTCAGTTTTTTTTTTTTTTGGTTTGAACTGATCTCAGTTTTTTAATTCGCTTTTGTTTCTTCTTCATATTATCGTATATGCGATTAAATAAAGAGGTATGCAGTGCACCGATGATTTTGTTTTGTTTTTTGTTTTTTTAAATTAAATTAATTAATGTGCTGGGTTTATTGGTAGGTAAAACAAAGTTAGATAATTGAATTATTGTAGGGTTTTTGTGTGTGTAGTATTAGTGGATAGATTCCAATTGGTAGGCATTATTCAAATTGTTGATTTTACATACTAGTTATTTTTTATTTTTCCTCTGCATTCTGTTTTGTATATATAATATACGTTTCAAAATGATGTAATGAACATATACTGACAATATTTTAATAGTATTTTCCTGGTTTCTGATACATAATAAATATTTCATATGTTTATAGTATGTGGTTTAGTATCCCACTTTCTTTTGATTTGCTGTGCTGGGTTGTGCCCGCGTGTTTTTATAATATTTTTAAAGGCTGTGTAGCACTTTTGGCATCTTCATTTTGAATTTGGAAACTGGTGATTTGTTTTTGAAATTATGCCTTAGAAAAGCTGAGATACTAAATCCTGCAAGAATTTCTGGACCAGTTTTCCGTTTCTTCATTTATGACTATGCCTGAAAGAAGAACCTTGTACAAAAAAGACCTCAATTATAATCTAATGTCAGTATTTCAATGCAGCTGCTGATGTCCTCCTATGGAGGAACAAGAAAATTTCTGCAAGTGTGCTTGGTGGTGCTACTGTATTATGGGTTTTCTTTGAGTTGCTTGAATACCATCTAATCACTCTGGTGTGCCATTTATTGATACTCTCCCTGGCTGTCTTTTTCCTGTGGTCTAATGCATCAACCTTTATCAACAAGTAATGTTCTGGTATTCTTGCTATTTTTGGCAGATTTGATATTTGATATAATATTATATGGTATTAACTTCGCTATGTTCCTTGTTCAGGTCTCCACCACAAATCCCAAAGGTTCAACTCTCTGAGAGGACTGTCCTTGATTTGGCATCTGCACTGAGAATTGAGCTCAACAGAGCTTTTCACATTTTGCGGGATATTGCATCTGGGAGAGATTTGAAGATGTTCCTTGGTGTAAGTTTATCTTTCTTTCATAGTGGTGCTGTATGTGTAGACAGTTGTTAGGATTATAGACTCATTAAGTGGTGCTCTTCTGGTTATCAGGTTATAGCTGTCTTGTGGATTGTGTCATTGGTTGGGAAATGGTTCAACTTCCTGACCTTATTCTACATAAGTAAGGATTTCTTTTGTAGTTTTCGATTCTCTTTAGCGTGTTTCTCGATTTTGATTTGGGAAACATCTGTTATTAACATCTCCTTGAATTTTGAATGGCAGCTTTTGTGTTGCTGCACACATTGCCGGTGATTTATGAGAAATATGATGTGCAGATTGATGCCTTTTCCGAGAAGGCATTGATTGAGTTCAAGAAGCAGTACGCAGTGTTTGATGCCAAGGTTTTGAGTAAAATTCCCAAGGGCCCATTGAAAGAAAAGAAGAAGGATTAGAGAGACACAGACCATGCTGATGCATGTTAAGTGTTTACTTAGGGGTTCACTTTAAGTTACTGTGTTTTTAGTCAAGGCGGTGTTGGATTATTTGGTTCCATTAGATTACGTCTTTGTGCGTTTATGTTTTAGTTCTGGTTGGGTGCACACAGCTTAATGAATGAATATATGCGTTTTAGATCTCTGTGTTTCTGGATGGCTGTGATTTTTGCTATTAGACCGTAATTTTTATATTTCGGAACTTGATTATACATTTAATTTGAGTTTTATTTCCAGTCTGTAATGGAAATTATTATCCTTATATGCCTTAATTCCAAATTGTTACTCTTGAAAGAAGCAATCTGACCTACGATATTGTCTGCATTAGTGAACTAAACTTTCAAAATTTGTCCAAACTACCGACTGATGAATTAGTTTTACATTTTACTGTTTGAGGTCGATTGTTATCAATGTGAAATGTGTTGCAAAAGAAACACAGAGATTATGAAACAAGAAGAATTTATGAATATACATATATTTTGGTACAAGAACGATAATATTATTACTTCTTATTTTTCAAAAACATATTCTTTTGAAAACAAAGTAAAAAATCCAGCTCCGGGACCGGGATGGTCGAGACTCAAGCAGCGAGGGAAGAGCCTCTTGAAGAAGCGAGAACGCTGGTCGCTAGATATTAGCCATCCTCATTGAGCAGCTCTATACATGAATGAAATGCTTTTACTGGGTTTTGCTCAAGGGTCTTTGGTAGGCCCATAACCTGGAAAATGGCCCTCCATCTGAATCACTATCACTGTCTGAAGAAGATGCCATTGATAAAGAATCATCCAAGAGATACCCAACCACCTGAAAAAAGATGGCAATATGGTTATAGATGTAAGGTCACCGGAACCCAAAATCTAAACAGAGCCAGTGATTCTAAGAAGAAAACAAGAAGAACTAAAACCAGAGCAGATTTCATTCTTCAAATAATGGTCTTATTTGACAATATACGTTAGTAAGGACAAGAAACAAGGAAGATACTCAAGCATCAGAGTTAGCATTCAGTGAATCCCTGCCAGTATCACTAACTAAAATCGAAAAACTAGAGCAAAGAACAAGATAGAAAATACCTGACTGGGTAACACCGGCTTAATTTGCTGATTTTCAGAATTTAGTCCTGTATGTTCATTTGAACATTTCATGTTATCGAGCCAAACAATTGTGTTGCAGTCCCTACAGTATCCCCTACTGGATTTCAATTTCTTTGAAGAACTACCTGAAATCCAAGCAGGCTTGCAAAGGTAAGAATGGATGACTTTGCACTTGAATGCTGACAGGAAGCAGAACAAGAATCCACGCTACGCACGTGCTTGCACCCAGGCATGTATGCCTGTGCTTCTTTGCAACTTATGTTTTCTAGTGACACAACCAGATCTAGAGGTATATTTTCTAAGGAGGTATATATAGAACATCTATTTTCTAGTGATACAACGCATTTCAAAACAGATGCAGCAAAAGCATATATCTAATAAGATACCTAAATATGCTCGTTTGAAGGCTTCTCGCCAAAATAGTGTATACCCTTCTTCATCTTCAACCAGTCTACCAATCTGTCGACCCTTAATCATTGCATCATTATCAGAATTCCCGAAGAAAGTAGTGTATTGTGCCCGCCACAAATTGTTCTCACTTGCCGTTATATTCCACAACCTTCACCAAAACAATCATAAAGTATTAGAGGTAATTGTTGATCCAAAGCAATTTCCTCACAACATAATTGAAGGGAAGAGAAATTACCAGCAGACTAGTCCAACAGAGACTAAAGATTGCATATCGAGGAAACTGAATATGTGAACAAGAACATCTTGTGGCAGCTGGGTTGAACCTGAAACTACAGGGATAGGAGACAAAAAAGTTAACAAGGATTGGATGCGAGGCTTAACAGATTAAACCTATCAAAATTTTCTGACTGTCAAACTAGGAACATGGAAAAATGGTGAGGTATGAGCAAACATAAAAGTAAAATCATGTTACCGTTTTCTTCTTGGCGGGCTTTAGTACGCCTCTTATGAGCAACCATTGCATTCTTATATTCTGTAACAGCTGCATTCTTCTTTTGCTTTGGCAACGTGGCCTCGACGCTCTGAAGGAGGAGATGGGCTGCCAAAACAGCATTGCGTGTCTGCATTCTAGTTTTGTAATAGCCATCCAAAAATTTCTTGTTACGAGAACTTAAACTTGATCCAGAAGAGTAGACAGCTTAAAACAATAACCAGCTCAAAAGTACGTTTGATCCCAGAAAGTCCAAAATTGACAATTTTGTTCATTCAAAACAAGCAAAGTTTCATCACCATCCTCATTACAATTTGCATTATAACCGAATTAAGATAATTTAAGTATGATTGAAGCTCTCAACGAATTAAAATTAACAAAATATTCAATTTTCATCCAAACTTGGTTGTGAAGTTTTCATTTTGAATACAAAATGTCTCAGAATTCGAATAACAGAAGCAACCCAGATATCAAAAAAAGTTTCTCTCTTTAAAAAATATCAAAACAAGAAGAAAGAGTTTATAAAATCCGAGATACGGGAAAGAGCATACTCAGAGAGGGAGGAGACGAAAGGCGGTGAGGGTATCCTGGAAGATGAGCGATTGAAGATTCTTGGGAATTTTCTTGTAAGCGCCTCTGAGAATTAAGCTCAGCTCTTTACAGGCTAACGGGTACCTGTGAATTCTTGGTAAAGACTCTTTCAAGCCAAGTTTTTGGTATCTCTCTAGTGGTTTTGACATGCTTTTTGTGATTCGAAGGCACAGGGGAGAGACAGAGGAGAGTTCCTTCAGATATTCCAAATTTACAACAATTCTGATGGGCTGAGAAGCATAGTTGGGCTGTTTAGTCCTTATGGGCTGCTGATTCGATTGGCCTACTCATATTTCTTAAATAGCCTCTAGGGCTCCACTTTTGACCACCTCTCATATTCCTTTTGTCTTCTTCTTCCTCTTCCCCTTCTGATCCTATTTGGGTATCATCAGAGCTTGGTTCCGAGAACATGGGCAAAAACCCTCTTTCTCCACAAGAAATGGGTTCCCTAGAGTTGGAGCTACAACTCCACAAAGAAAAACTCAGGCTTCGCTTCAGGAGCTGCAGAACTCCATAAACTCCATGGCCTCCGCACAAGCTCACTTCCAGCAAACGCTTCTGGAAGATATCCGCCAACTTAGAGTTGGGTTTGAACAATCAAGAACAAAGGATGGGTCCTCCTCAATGCCATGAACAATGAACCTGAACTTCCCTGTGTTTCACGGAGGAAACGACAACGCAGTAGAGTGGCTCTACCTCGCGGAGCTTTACTTCAAATACCTCGAGACTCCCAAGGAGAAGAAAGTGGAGATTGCGTCCCTTCACTTACAGGGGGATGCGATTCCATGGATGTCAGGCTTGTACGAGCCCTACCACAGCTTGGATTCATGGTCGCAGTTTGTGGTGAAATTTTTGAAGTTCTTTGGGCCTGGAGAGTGCATCGATATTAGATATTGCGCTGACCAACCGGGATCAGTGAAAAGTACACAACAGAGCTCCTGGGGCTGCGCTGTCGAAAAAAAAAACCGGTATAGCCGTGCGGCTATACGATTTATTATTATTATAAAACCGGATGTACTATTAATAGTCTGGAAAAAAATAAATGAAACGGTATAGCCGGGCGGCTATACTATGAATAAATAAAACTAAAAATATCGTATAGCCGTTCGGCTAAACTATTTGTAAAGAAAATAAGAGACCTAGTACGAATTTTTAGAAACATTAATTAAACCCAGTATAGCCGAGTGGCGATACCATTTTAAAAAATAAAAACAGAGTATTGTAAGAAAAAACCGAGTATAGCCGAACGGCTATACTATTTACCAAAAAAAAAAAGGGACCACTACGGAATAGGCGCCCACGTGTCAAAATAAGTACCGCCGGTCGGCTATACTATTTTTTATGAAGAAATTCGGAAAAAACGAGTTTTTGTGCAAGAAATGGATTCTCTAGAGTTGGAGCTACAACTCCACAAAGAAGAACTCAGGCTTCGCTTCAGGAGCTACAGAACTCACTTACAGCAAATGCTTCTGGAAGAAATCCGCCAACTTAGATTTGGGTCTGAACAATCAAAAACAAAGGATGGGTCCTCCTCAATGCCATGGACAATGAACTTGAACTTCACTGAATGACAACCCAGTAGACTGGCTCTGCCTCGCGGAGCGTTACTTCAAGTACCTCATGATTCCCGAGGAGACGAAAGTGGAGATTTTGTCCCTTCACTTACAGGGGGATGCGATTCCATGGATGTCAGCCTTGTACGAGCCCTGACACAGCTTGGATTCATGGTCGCAGTCTGTGGTGAAATAAGTAACCTTCTGTCATGGTCAGGCGCAACTGTAAACAGAGCTCGGACGTTTTTTTCATCTTCTCCAAACCATTTTGAAGTGACGGTGGACATCGAGACATTGATATTCATTTGCAATGGCTTTTGCCAGCATTGTTTTTCCAGTGCCAGGAGTACCAAAAAGCAATATGCCTCTACAAGGCTTAAGAAGCCCACCTTTGAAAAGTTCTGGTCTTCGAAGTGGGAGCATGACCAACTCCTAAAGTGATTCTTTAATATCATCCAATGCACCAATGTCTGCAAATGTGACTCCAATCTCATTTGCAGGGATAACCTCTGGCCTTATGCGCTTCTCAAATTCATTGTCAGGTCAGGCGCAACTTCCTGCACGAACACCATGAAAATTCCATAAGACAAGGAAGTCTGAAGAAAATAGGTGCTGACGACCAGGAGGATATTATGTATCCTATGGAATGACTTGAACTTATAACTTCTGGCGGAGGTGGATTCTCGCTGTCCTCCTTCACAGCAGGACCAGATTTCTCTGCTTCACCTTTGTTTTCAGGTGCTGCAGTTTCAGTCCTTGGACCGACAGCCTCTTCCCCTTCAGTTTACTAGAAATGATAAACCATTAAGACATCAGAATGTAAGAGTATTTCCATTTGATCCACTTCTTGAAAAACATCAAGAGGTTAAAATCCGTATAGCCGCGCGGCTACACTGTCCCTCCGAGTGATAGGCGTCCACGTGTCAAAATACATTTAGCCGCACGGCTATACAATTTTTAGAATCATTAATAAAACCAAGTATAGCCGCACGGCTAGACACTTTTATTTATTTATTTTTAAAAAAGTACAGCCGAAGGGATATTGCGTCCCTCCGAGTGATAGGGTTTGACCAATCAAGACTAAAGGATGGGTCCTCCTCAATGCCATGAACAATGAACCTGAACTTCCCTGTGTTTCACGGAGGAAACGACAACCCAGTAGACTGGCTCTGCCTCGCAGAGGTTTACTTCAAGTACCTCAAGACTCCCGAGGAGAAGAAAGTGGAGATTGCGTCCCTTCACTTACAGGGGGATGCAATTCCATGGATGTCAGGCTTGTGCGAGCCCTACCACAGCTTGGATTCATGGTCGCAGTTTGTGGTGAGATTTTTAAAGTTCTTTGGGCCTGGAGAATGCAACGATATAGATATTGCGCTGAGCAACCGGGATCCGTGAAAGAGTACACAACCGAGCTCCTGAGGCTTTGCTCTTAAAAAAAAAAAAAAAAAAAAAAAAAAAAAAATCTCCGGCTATACTATTTATTAGTATTTTTATTATTTTAAAACGCGCTGTACTGTTAATCTGTATAGCCGCTCGGCTATACCATGCATAAATAAAACTAAAAATATGGTATTGCCGGTTGGCTATACTATTTTTAAAAGAAAATCAGAAAAACCACGTTTAGAAGTATAGCCGAACGGCTGTACCATTTACAAGAAAGGGGACCACCTACGGAATAGGCGCCCACGTGTCAAAATAAGTACAGCCGGTCGGCTACACTATTTTTTTTTAAATTTTTTTTTTTTGAAAAAACGAGTTTTTGTGCAAGAAATGGGTTCCCTAGAGTTGGAGCTACGACTCCTCAAAGAATAACTCAGGCTTCGCTTCAGGAGCTACATAACTCCGTAAACTCCATGGCCTCCGCACAAACTCACTTACAGGAAACGCTTCTGGAAGAAATCCGCCAACTTAGATTTGGGTCTGGACAATCAAGAACAAAGGATGGGTCCTCCTCAATGCCATGCATGGACAATGAACCTGAACTTCACTGAATGACAACCCAGTAGACTGGCTCTGCCTCGCGGAGCGTTACTTCAAGTACCTCATGATTCCCGAGGAGACGAAAGTGGAGATTGTGTCCCTTCACTTACGGGGGGATGCGATTCCATGGATGTCAGGGTTGTACGAGCCCTACGACAGCTTGGATTCATGGTCGCAGTTTGTGTTGAAATTTTTGAAGTTCTTTGGGCCTGGAGAGTGCAACAATATAGAGATTGCGAAGCATGAGTTTCTACTCTTTCAATTCTCGCAGCTGACATTTCTGGAGGAGGAGATATTTTATTTAATGCAAAGAAAGCATGAGTTCATGCAATACAGTGGCATTATTTCTGCTAGTCGCTGGGAGATATTTTATTTAAAAATAAATTTAAATTTAGTATCTTTTAAGTCCAATAAATTTTCTTTTTAGTAATTAAATAATATCTTAGACTTATTTAATTATTATTTGTTTAGTGAATAATTAAATACTTTAATTAACTTAATAAATGGTAATTATTATTTTTATTTAATCAAATATTTAAATACTAATTATTCACTAAGTAAATAGTAATTAAAAAAGAAATCAAGATTATGCTATTCAAAGGGTATATACGGCTATACTTTTCAAAATTTTCTTTTTTATTCATTAAATAATATCTTAGCCTTGTTTATATACTTTCATTATGATTACGTTTTAATTATTATTTCTTTAGTGAGTAACTAGCATTAAATATTTTAATAAAAATCCTAGAAATTTAGTTTTAGTACCCAACATATTTTAGTATTCCAAAAATGGATTTTAGCCTTGAAACTTAAATCCAAGTCACAACGTGATTCAATAATATCAACTGCTTTTTGGAGTTTGATTGAAATACATGAACTTGAGTCCCACATTGGAAAAAAAGAGAAAGTATCTACTCCTTAGTAGGCTTATGATTAGGGTTCGAGGCTTAAGAAAGGTTTGGGAACAATTTCGAAAGCTAGGGTTTCTGGTTTGAGACTTGGATTTACCCAAACTAATTTGGTGAAAACAAAGTCCATAATTAATTATTATTCATGAAGTAATTTATGAAACGAGCAAAATACTTGTCACAACTCTGGGGTTATTTTCTGTTATTTCAATACCTTGCGTGGACTTGAAGATGGGGTGGCAGGAGCTGTGAATGCCTTTCATGGGCACTTTCCTCACAATAAATCTGAGGATAGACCTGAGTCATTGCCAGCTAGAAGTGGCTTATTTTCCATCAGGAGGTGTTTTGGCTACTCCTCCTACACATGATTCTTCACTAGGCCATAGCGATGTTTTATTCCAATCATGTGCAAGACATCAGAATTGTGAAATTATGATATCCTCTTACTAGGTTACTTAACATTACATCATTTTTGTTTCACTCGTCAAACAAATCTTCTACAGATCCCTTTGTTTTCATTATTAGATAATCTCTATTAGGGCCACTTCCGCCATGAAAGTAAAAACTGTTATTGGAAGTGTTTTTAATACAGTGAGAAAGATGTGATGCTTTGGTAGGGAGCTTGTAAATTTACAAAGTTGAACGATTCTTCAAGAGACTTAAGAACTATATTGATGGCTTAAAAATAATACAAATTTATAAATAAACCCAATCCTAGACATGTATTTATAAAAAAACCCAAACACTATTTAAACATAGAAACACACCCAAAATCAACACCAAAATCAACAATTGTATATTTTTTGGGTGTGTTTATAAATGAGTTTTGCGTGTGTGTAATGATGGGTTTTGGGTGTGTTTATAAAATGTTTTGGGTGTTGGGTTTTTTTATAATTTCAGCTCCCATTTTGGGTGTTTTAGTGAAACTCCCTAAAAATAAAGCTGTTGGCCACTGCACTATACAAACACAGTTTCTTTCTTAGTCTTGCAACCCTATGCACTTGCCTCTCTCAATTTACAGCATTATCTAAAAACCAAACATCATCAAGCAGAAGATTAGTAGAAAACTCTAGCCAGATCATTCCCTATTCCGGCAGGTAGAATAGCAACTGGAGGAGGAGACACAAAGTTTTGCTTTTCTATGGTGTGGCACCTTTCTGAATAAATAAAGACTCACCTCCGGTCCTTGTGTTGAGGTCAGCTCAAAAACCTACATGAAACACAAGCACATGCAACAAGTAAGCAACAATTTATGATACATCCGAAATAATAATAGAGGAATAGGTTCACCAAACTCCATTGAAATCAACTGAGGAGAGATTAACAGCTTGATGAGTATAGCTGTGCTTTCTGTGGACGTACCCCCAGTACTACCACTATTTCCCGTGTCAACAGAGGTTTCATATCCATACTTGGACTTGTTGCTCTGACTCCTAACAGTTGCACATACTGAAGATGCCATCTCATTAATGGAGCTCAAAAATCCACCCGACATGAAGAGGGGATAGAGTCAACCTTCTGAATAGAACTAAATCACAAATATCACCTGTTTCATTGGACATGATACTATGGCAATCCACATGTAGGCTATAGTCAAAATTCCAATTAGAGCAGCGATAAGGCAAGAGACAATAAAAAGACGATAAGTTGGATTCTTGTTGTTCCAATTGGAGAAAAAAACTATCAATGTCACCATCATCATCCATCCTCAATGACTACTTGTTTGATCTACATTCGCATGAGCATCAAACTGCCCAATCCCAGTTTAATTAGGCTCCAACTCATATATCCTCCAATATGGTTTCATCATTCAATAACATTATCAAAAGCCTTAAACTCATTTGACAACCCAACTCATCACCCTACTTAATTCATCATGTGCAACAGAGAGTCGAACAATATGCTTTTTATAGGTGCTACTTACTGTAACCGCTTCAACCTTAAAAAAAAACCTGAAAACGTTTCATAAGTAAAACAAATATCATTCCAAATACAAAGCACTTGCTGCCAAGATTAGTTTCATATCAAAATTCAGATGTAAAAACCAGATACAAAATACATGTAAACATGAAGGAAATACAAAGTCCACCACAGTTCTATCATAATTTAGTGATATTTTAAATTAAATGACAGTCCAGTGGAAAAACAAAACACCCCCATCTCTAGAGACCAAAGCAACACACAACCTTCACGCCACACAAAACCCGCTTCATACTTCACTTTCTATTCTATTTTCTCGGAAACCAAACAGAATAGTCTAAAAGCAAAGCATAACATATGTACATACATTCTAATATGTAACCACGAATACATGTCTATGAGTGTGTCTCGATTTTGAAATAATAATCAATAAATACATTGAACCGTGAAGATTTCAGAAAATAAAGCGAAAGTGTTTGAAAAAATAAATAAATAAATAAAGGAACTTACAGCGACATTCCCAAGAGATGGAGATGGATCGCGCCGTTTAGAGAAAACCCTAGCCTTAGCTTGATCCACGAAGAGAGGGAAAATTCAGAGTGTAGGAATCAAAGCAAAACCGAAATCCTGCTTTTTCTTTCAAATGCTGCTGCTGCTGCTGATGATTTTTGTCTTACAAAATCAGCAGTAATTACAGCGGAATTCATCACCAATTGAGAAACTAACCTCCCTCCAACATTATTATCATCAACCAATGCTCCAGCATTAGCATTTGAAGATGAGCCTACTTTCTTGCCACTAGACTTATTCCCATATGCATCTCTTCGGGAAGGAACCTCATCAAGACTTGTCGGAACGGTTTTAATTGGTATTTGTCTTGTGCCAGACACTTCAATGTGTTTCTTTTCCTTACGGGGTTTATCTAGGCATTGGAGATGATACGACTGAAGGCATTTTCCACAGTGCTTCAGGTTACCCCCAACACAGCACACAAAACATACATGGCATACCTGCAAGAAAAAAAGGCAGGTGAGACAGAATATAGCAATGACCTTAAAAATAAATTATAGGTCTAAGACAACTAAGAGAAGATCTTCATAGAAACCTAAATTAAAGAACCAAATCTAAATGTTCATCTCAACTAGATACACTTTCAAGGGTCGGTTGAATAGGGCACATTCTGGTGGTATCTGGTAATCCCTTAAAACCTTTTTCTTTTCAGTATTTTTTTTCAAGAACAAAATTATTAGAGGAAAAATAGGGAAGGATGGATTATTAAATTATCTACATAAGGATGATTGACATACAACATATATCCCTATGAAACAAACTACAAAAAGTGAACAGGTTCCAACTTTCTAAAATCTCACCGCAGAATTTCTGTTGTAATTTTCTGATGAACGCTTATCAATCAAATGAACTTGCAAGTCTGGTGGTTTGCTTAAAGAAGTATCATCGGGAGCAACAAAAAGTGAATTACGGCACTCATGTCCCTGTACAGGATCTGTTCTTGATTGCCGCTTTTGCTTATACGTTAGCAACACTTTGCTTCCTGACATTTTTTTGGACATGAAATTTGTATTTATTCCACTATATGTTCAGTCTCATTTCAACACAGAAAAACCTGCATATGTTAAGGAAGAATATCCAATTAACTAAACAGCAAGTCATGACTCATATAGTTAATACAGTTATGAGTAGCAACACAATGATAGCTGAAGGGCGAAAGACGGATTTCGACTGCTCTGAAATAGTGAATCACTATTACGAGGAATGCGGCAAACAAAAATTGTACTAACATTCTCCACCTAAAACACAGGCAGTGAGGTACAAGCATAAATGCCATTTGCATATTAAAGAATAAGCATAGCAAGAGAAGCTAAACGCATGCCATTCACAGAAATGTTTAAATTTCAGAATCAATTTGAATTCAAGAAGCCTAACGCATGCCATTCACAGAACCTTGTCATTGGCAAGACCACAGAAACTCCATCAACATCATCATTTCCTTCCACAGAAGACAGACAAGTCAGCAAATGTTGCATTTTTTTCTTCTGCGCCATGTCGTCAGTGCGAAGAGAGAAGAATATAAGGCAACAAACAGGGAGAGGAATGGAATTAGATGAATTAAGAGTCTCATGATCTGTTCTTCTATAGACCTGATTTGTGCTTCATCACTGCCTCGGCTTCCCGATCTCAAGCTCAAATTTGCGGCTAAATTTTTTCAATTTCGAGACTTTCACTCAATCGCAGTGTTTGAAAAGTCAGCCTAGGCGGGAGGCTAGCGCTAGGCAGCGGCAAGGCGGTGGCTGGGCAAGCACTAGGCGGTGGCTAGGCGGCTGGGTAGTAGCTAGGCGGGCGCCTAGGCGGTTGGGTCTTTTTTCGGTGCCGAACCCGGAGGACGAAGCAGTGACTGCGAGAGAAAATTCTGTCCTCTGCGAGTCTCGTGTATTTAAAGCGTCTAGCCGATCGGCTGTACATGGAATGTAATTAGATAGTATAGCCGTGCGGCTGTATGTTTATGCTCTCTATGATAAGTACCTGAAGGCATGTAAAATTGAGAGAAGAAAGCTGGAGAGCTCTATGACTTTTCTTTACTTCACACTCCAAAGCAAAGTCTACTGCTTAATGAAGTCTTTAAAAATCCATAAGACTTTGAGCACAACAAACTGTGTAGCCCCGTGATTTTTATGGATTTGTTTTTCTTAAAAAACAGACTTTAAAACTGCTAGTTATAAATACCACAATAGTTTTAAACATATTCGAGAAGCAAGCAAATAAGGGAATAGATTTTAATAGCATTCCGAAAGGGCATGCTGATTTACAATCATCCAAGCATTCCTCCATTACATCTTAAGCTAATTAAGAATCCATTACATTACATGGAGCACATATATGATAGTGATTGATTTTATCTACCCTAGACAAGACAAGGACAAATATATAAACTATACAACAACCAGTGCGGAAAAAAACATACAAAACCTTCCCCCACCCCCCATCCTAAAATGGCTGGCAAAACAGGGCGGGCATAACCTAACAAGGTAAGCAACTCAAAGAGAGAGCAATTTACCAATGCCGCATGACAAAAATATCACAAAGCCTATGAGAATGATGATCCCCACAACAATCAATTTTATCTTCATATTCTGAAACCACATCTTCCTTTTCATTTTTGTTCCCTGTGTCCTGAAATCTTGGGCCTACAACACAAACACACCATTGTTTTCAACATATAAACGCCATATCAACAGCACAAAAGAGGAAAGGAAATTAAAAGATGATTTTTAAAATAAATATAAAAACTTGGAGAGAAAACCATATCACTCTCCATCACCCAAACCTAATAAACTAAACATAAGTTATGCTTCTTCGACTAACCTGCGAGCGAAGATTATCAGTTTTGTCCACTAACAGCTCAATCTTCTCACCGCGGTCAAGAACCTGCAGAATACATGAATTTCCATGACTAAAAATGGATGACATATTTACCTACTTGGAATCAGAATGAAAAGGAATTGGAATGAGAAATTCAGAATGGGAATTGAGTTGTTCCTATTAGTAATGTTTACCAACTTTCAGGAATCAAAACCACAACCACACCCTTATTCAGAACACCGACCTTCTCAATATTGTCCATCATAACACCCTTGACCTCAGTAACCTGAGCCTTCACTTTTGCAAGCTTGTTGATCTCTTCAGGATGATCCAGACAGTACTTCATGTGATCCTTCAGTTTAGGTCTAAAACATCCATATAAGTGTTAAGCAAAGCATATTCATGAAGAAGAAAAAAAAGGCGAACAATATTCATCGCCATGAAAAAGACATCATAAGATGAATACCCAAACTCTCTGTTCAGTCCATTGGCAACAGCAGTTCCAGCTTTCCCACCAGCATATCTTTTGTTGAAATCGTCCTTGACTCTCTCCAGATAGGCAATTGGAATTTGCCTGCCAGCAGATTCAGATGCAACTACGCAGTAGGCTGCAGAATCCAAAACAAAGACAATTTAAAAACCTATCCTTACAATTTACAAACGAGGATTATCAACTCAAATTGCACAGTTGGAAATTACTTCAATCAAATCAAATGCACAATGTTTTTTTTTTGTTTTTTTTTGTTGATATGTATAATTGACTAAGAAAACTAATACTGCAATTAAAAAAACGCAGCAGCAATCCAACAATCATCTCTTGAATCTTAATCACCCAATCTTGAATGCATACCATGCAACCATATAGTTACAAAATATCTGCTTTAAAAAGAATCAACGCAATCAGCGTTGTCATAATCATAGATACATATACATATGATCTTCATTCCAACAAAAACAAATTACAAAACGCATGGATCAAAGCCAACGATAATGAACAAATCCAAGAGAAGAATCAGACATTGGTAAGAAATGATTTGAAGGGCATGTAAATGCATGGGGGACTCACTGAAGCCGTTTTCGACGAGGTAATTGAAGGTGTGGCCATCGCAATTGTAGGTGAACTTGTTGTTGGAGGAAGGAAGCTTCTGAAGGCATTGAGAGGCAATGGAGGTGAAATTGCCGGTGAACTCTGTGTACTCGGCGAGAATCACACTGCCTCGAGCGACGAAGCTGTAGATCAGAGATTGTTGCCCCATCTCAATTCCAATATAAAAAAACCCTAACCCTAATCCGAATGGGAATGTGAATTTACGCAGAGAGAGAGAGAGAGAGAGAGAGAGACGTTATGTTTTTCCAAATTCTCATTTACAGTAATGCTTAATGATTTTCGAATACTTGGAACTACAGGAAAAGAAGAAGAGAGAAGCACAAGGCAAGAGCACAGAAGCACATATTTACCTACTTGGAATCAGAATGAAAATGGGCCTAGGCGGGCGGCTAGGCGGGTACTAGGCGGCTAGGCGGTGGCTAGGCGGGCTCTAGATGGCTGGGCGGTGGCTAGGCGGGCACTAGGCGGCTAGGCGGTGGCTAGGCGGGCACTAGGCGGCTAGGCGGTGGCTAGGCGGGCACTAGGCGGCTAGGCGGTGGCTAGGCGGGCTCTAGATGGCTGGGCGGTGGCTAGGCGGGCTCTAGATGGCTGGGCGGTGGCTAGGCGGGCACTAGGCGGCTAGGCGGTGGCTAGGCGGGCACTAGGCGGCTAGGCGGTGGCTAGGCGGGCTCTAGATGGCTGGGCGGTGGCTAGGCGGGCACTAGGCGGCTAGGCGGTGGCTAGGCGGGCACTAGGCGGCTAGGCGGTGGCTAGGCGGGCACTAGGCGGCTAGGCGGTGGCTAGGCGGGCTCTAGATGGCTGGGCGGTGGCTAGGCGGGCTCTAGATGGCTGGGCGGTGGCTAGGCGGGCACTAGGCGGCTAGGCGGTGGCTAGGCGGGCACTAGGCGGCTAGGCGGTGGCTAGGCGGGCTCTAGATGGCTGGGCGGTGGCTAGGCGGGCTCTAGATGGCTGGGCGGTGGCTAGGCGGGCACTAGGCGGCTAGGCGGTGGCTAGGCGGGCTCTAGATGGCTGGGCGGTGGCTAGGCGGGCACTAGGCGGCTAGGCGGTGGCTAGGCGGGCTCTAGATGGCTGGGCGGTGGCTAGGCGGGCTCTAGATGGCTGGGCGGTGGCTAGGCGGGCTCTAGATGGCTGGGCGGTGGCTAGGCGGGCACTAGGCGGCTAGGCGGTGGCTAGGCGGGCTCTAGATGGCTGGGCGGTGGCTAGGCGGGCTCTAGATGGCTGGGCGGTGGCTAGGCGGGCACTAGGCGGCTAGGCGGTGGCTAGGCGGGCACTAGGCGGCTAGGCGGTGGCTAGGCGGGCACTAGGCGGCTAGGCGGTGGCTAGGCGGGCACTAGGCGGCTAGGCGGTGGCTAGGCGGGCACTAGGCGGCTAGGCGGTGGCTAGGCGGGCACTAGGCGGCTAGGCGGTGGCTAGGCGGGCTCTAGATGGCTGGGCGGTGGCTAGGCGGGCACTAGGCGGCTAGGCGGTGGCTAGGCGGGCACTAGGCGGCTAGGCGGTGGCTAGGCGGGCACTAGGCGGCTAGGCGGTGGCTAGGCGGGCACTAGGCGGCTAGGCGGTGGCTAGGCGGGCTCTAGATGGCTGGGCGGTGGCTAGGCGGGCACTAGGCGGCTAGGCGGTGGCTAGGCGGGCTCTAGATGGCTGGGCGGTGGCTAGGCGGGCTCTAGATGGCTGGGCGGTGGCTAGGCGGGCACTAGGCGGCTAGGCGGTGGCTAGGCGGGCTCTAGATGGCTGGGCGGTGGCTAGGCGGGCTCTAGATGGCTGGGCGGTGGCTAGGCGGGCACTAGGCGGCTAGGCGGTGGCTAGGCGGGCACTAGGCGGCTAGGCGGTGGCTAGGCGGGCTCTAGATGGCTGGGCGGTGGCTAGGCGGGCACTAGGCGGCTAGGCGGTGGCTAGGCGGGCACTAGGCGGCTAGGCGGTGGCTAGGCGGGCACTAGGCGGCTAGGCGGTGGCTAGGCGGGCTCTAGATGGCTGGGCGGTGGCTAGGCGGGCTCTAGATGGCTGGGCGGTGGCTAGGCGGGCTCTAGATGGCTGGGCGGTGGCTAGGCGGGCTCTAGATGGCTGGGCGGTGGCTAGGCGGGCACTAGGCGGCTAGGCGGTGGCTAGGCGGGCACTAGGCGGCTAGGCGGTGGCTAGGCGGGCACTAGGCGGCTAGGCGGTGGCTAGGCGGGCACTAGGCGGCTAGGCGGTGGCTAGGCGGGCACTAGGCGGCTAGGCGGTGGCTAGGCGGGCTCTAGATGGCTGGGCGGTGGCTAGGCGGGCACTAGGCGGCTAGGCGGTGGCTAGGCGGGCACTAGGCGGCTAGGCGGTGGCTAGGCGGGCTCTAGATGGCTGGGCGGTGGCTAGGCGGGCTCTAGATGGCTGGGCGGTGGCTAGGCGGGCACTAGGCGGCTAGGCGGTGGCTAGGCGGGCTCTAGATGGCTGGGCGGTGGCTAGGCGGGCACTAGGCGGCTAGGCGGTGGCTAGGCGGGCTCTAGATGGCTGGGCGGTGGCTAGGCGGGCTCTAGATGGCTGGGCGGTGGCTAGGCGGGCTCTAGATGGCTGGGCGGTGGCTAGGCGGGCACTAGGCGGCTAGGCGGTGGCTAGGCGGGCTCTAGATGGCTGGGCGGTGGCTAGGCGGGCTCTAGATGGCTGGGCGGTGGCTAGGCGGGCACTAGGCGGCTAGGCGGTGGCTAGGCGGGCACTAGGCGGCTAGGCGGTGGCTAGGCGGGCTCTAGATGGCTGGGCGGTGGCTAGGCGGGCTCTAGATGGCTGGGCGGTGGCTAGGCGGGCACTAGGCGGCTAGGCGGTGGCTAGGCGGGCACTAGGCGGCTAGGCGGTGGCTAGGCGGGCTCTAGATGGCTGGGCGGTGGCTAGGCGGGCTCTAGATGGCTGGGCGGTGGCTAGGCGGGCTCTAGATGGCTGGGCGGTGGCTAGGCGGGCTCTAGATGGCTGGGCGGTGGCTAGGCGGGCGCCTAGGCGGGTTGGGTCTTTTTTGGGTGCCGAACCCAGAGGACGAAGCAGTGACAGCGAGAAAAAGCTCCGTCCTCTGCGAGGGCAAGCGTCGTGACATAGAAAGAGTATAGCCGTTTGGCTGTACGTTTAATATTCGAATCTAATTACAAAGTATAGCCGTTCGGCTGTACGTTTATAATTTCTATTTATAAAGTCGAGCCTTGCGGCTATAGTGGAAGCGTATCGTACAAAAGAAGACGTATCTTCCAAATGAGAAGCGCATAAGGCCAGAGGTTATCCCTGCAAATGAGATTGTAGTCACATTTGCAGACATTGGTGCATTGGATGATATCACTTCAGGAGTTGGTCATGCTCCCGCTTCGAAGACCAGACCCTTACAAAGGTGGGCTTTTTAAGCCTTGTAGAGGCATTTTGCTTTTCGGTCCTCCTGGCACTGGAAAAACAATGCTGGCAAAAGCCATTGCAAGTGAAGCGGGAGCAAGTTTTATCAATGTCTCGATGTCCACCATCACTTCAAAATGGTTTGGAGAAGATGAAAAAAAACGTCCGAGCTCTGTTCACACTTGCAGCAAAGGTCTCCCCAACTATTTTCTTTGTGGATGACGTTGACAGCATGCTTGGGCAGCGGACCAGAGTTGGGGAGCATGAGGCCATGAGGAAGATAAAAAACGAGTTCATGACACACTGGGATGGGCTTTGACAAAAACCGGAGAGCGAATTCTTGTTCTGGCTGCAACCAACAGACCATTTGACCTTGATGAAGCAATCATCAGGCGGTTTGAGCGCAGTTATAAATCTATATTTTATTGTAGTCAGAGTTCGCAACATTCCTTTTCAATTTTCATACAATTTTTGTTGATCGGTAACTCTTATATGACACAAAAAATTTGTGATTTCAACTTCATGTCTGCTAACTTTGAACTCTTTTTTGTGTTGAACAGAGTCATGGTTGGTCTTCCCTCCGTCGAGAATAGGGAAATGATCTTGAAAACTCTTCTTTCAAAAGAAAAGGTTGAAAATCTAGACTTCAAGGAGCTTGCAACCATGACAGAAGGTTACAGTGGCAGTGATCTTAAGGTTAGTTTTGGAGTCGATAATATTATAACCTTAAATTGTAATCAGTATGATGAGCTCATGAAACTAACTACTGGAAAACAGAACTTGTGTGTGACAGCAGCTTATCGACCTGTGATGAAGCTTATACAACAGGAGAGACAAAAGGATATGGTAACTAACTACCTCTTACGCTCTTCCTCTGCCTTAGCAATATTCTTATTTTTCCAAATTCTCATTTACAGTAATGCTTAATGATTTTCAAATACTTGGAACTACAGGAAAAGAAGAAGAGAGAAGCACAAGGCAAGAGCACAGAAGATGCTTCAGAGACAAAAGAGGAAGAGAAAGAGGACCGAGAAATTACTCTGAGAGCTTTAAACATGGAAGATATGCGGCAGGCAAAGAATCAGGTAACTAACTTGACCTTTTTTCAATATTTTGCCTCCATAAACTACCATCTCTTTTATGTGTGTTTAGTTTTGCATGTATGTTTATACATGTCCATGGTGTGATGCAGGTTGCCGCCAGTTTCGCTTCAGAGGGATCAGTAATGAGTGAGCTGAAACAGTGGAATGATTTGTACGGAGAAGGTGGCTCAAGGAAGAAGCAACAACTCACTTACTTCCTGTAAAACATTAATAATACATGGAGAAGCAGGCGTCCTAGACAGTGATCAGCTTCATTCTTCGAGAAAGAATGTGAAGATTTGAGGAAGTTGGAAACTCCACCTGAAACACAAATGTTTGATGGCTCGTGACAACGTGACGATCAATTAGAAGCAGCTCTAGCTCTGATCCTCAAACGAAGAAAACGTTACAACCCAATGAACGTATACACCGGCGTACAATATACATAAATATTGTATTTTGTAAAAGAGGATTTGGCATTTGTTCACCAAATGTAAAGGGAGGGTGGGTTCTCGGTATTTTATTAAGCCGTCTTGCAAGCAAAATACCACCAGCTGGGGTTTTAGTCATGTTCTGTGAACGTGTGGTATTTGGAAATGCACGCGGGGTTTCAGATTGGTGGGGAGGGAACTTGGAGTGAATTTAATTTGTTTGATATGATATATATATATATATATATATATATATATATAGCCTGTAGCTTATGGACAATATTCAAATACAGTCAGAGCATTTGTACATTGTTCTTAAATTCTGTAACACTTGATAATGCATTGCTCTTTGTATTACATAAAACATGTGAATTACGGCACTCATGTCCCTGTACATGATCTGTTCTTGATTGCCGCTTTCGCTTGTACGTTTTATCGAGAATGGCCATAGGCAGGGTGACAGTCATGAATGTCTCTCTAAATCTTTATTTGTTATGAATTACTTATTTTTCTTCTTTTATCTTTGGGTAATGCTAGGGAGACCATCTTTTTGTACCACAATTGTATACCATCTGATGTGAAAGATGATATGGCATGCCAAATCATTTAATACAATTACATATATTTTAAATTTTCATTCTCCCCTAATTAATGCACCGATCCCATAAAATTTTTTTTATTTATAATCTTTCCTCCTCTTCCTCCTCCCTCTCACCCTTTTCATACAACAATTTCTTATAATCGGAGCCATCGAAAGTTCTCCCTCTAAACCATGGCAGGTGCATTACCATCGAATTTCTGACAAATGCAGCACCATGATTCACGCATCCCTTCCATTCTACGTTGTAGATCTAGATCTGAAGAGTGAGTTGAGATAAGTAAATAGCTCTTGGAATTTGGTACACAATTGCTAGATCGCTCGTCGCCTTGTCGACAGCCACAGTCGCTACAGACGACGCTGACGCCATTATCATCTCTCTCTCTCTCCCTCTCTTTCTAAGATTTTTTGAGGCAATAGATACTTCTCATTGGTCTAAAAATGAAATGGAATCACAACTAAAAAGATAACCCACAACAACTCACCTTCCCGGAATATTTTTCTTGTTTGGATAGGTTAATAATTTTGAAAACCCATCATGATCCCTTTTTTTTAAAGACTTCAACAAGGAAAGGTAGTTGGGTTTTGATTCTAAATATAATATTATTTCATATTTACAAGAACAATATAGTTAGATATTTTAGGGCGTCCATGAAGATATAAAGTTTTTATCAGATTAGTGCTTTTTCCACCACATTTTAGCAGCCAGTTTTTTTTTTTTTTTTTCCCTGCGAAATTGACCATTAGTTGCAAGCCATAAGAGACAAAGAACAAAAAATGGCAGCCAACATGAGGAAAGGGGTTGATACTGTGTTTAACACCCATGAAAAATCCGGCAATCATAAAATTGTTGTGGAGAAGACAGAGTGGGGAGAAGGAAGAAGGAAGAAGAAAAAGTGAAGATAGAAAGACTCCTATCGGTAATTGTGCTGTAATTAGGGGAGAATAAAATAGATTTAGCTATATTTAATGACTTTTGTGCATTAATTAGGGGAGAATAAAAATTTAAAATATCTGTAACTACATTAAATGATTTGGCATGCCACATCATCAAATGGTATACAATTGTGGTACAAAAAATATGGTCTCTCTAGCATTTTGTGAGAAAAAGAAAACTTAGAGAAAAACTTGGAGAAAGAGAGATTATGATAATGATAGTGGGAATGTTTGGATCTCTATGATAAGTATTTGAAGACATATAAAATTGAGAGAAGAAAGCTGGAGAGCTCTATGACTTTCTTTACTTTGAAGTTTATAATTCACACTCCAAAGCAAAGTCTACCGCTTAATGAAGTCTTTAAAAATCCATGAGATTTTGAGAACCAAAAACTGTGTAGCCCCGTGAATTTTATGGATTTATTTTTCTAAAAAAACTTAACGAAACTAACGTGAACTTATGAAAAAGAAATGAAGGGTAAAAGAAACCAAGAGTTTTGCACCCCTTTTGAAAGCAATGGCATGCACGCAGATGCCGTTAAATTAAAGCAAACAGATAATCATTAATTTAAAATTTGAAGATAATTATACTCATCTTCGAATCGATCGAGGCATTGGCTAATGACGCCGACTCAGTCATAGCACCTTCCTGTTCATGGCTTTCCTTTTTATTTTTATTTTTCTATACAGTATTGATATGGTGTTTGTTGGAATTTTTTTGAATGGATCCACAAAAAAGCAGGCATGACCTTTAATCCCTTCCTAACTGTTGGATTTATCAGAGCGGATGGCTCAAAGGAAACTATTACGTATAATAAATGCGAATATATTTACAGAGGCTATACTCTTTAAACACAATAGAGTCAAATATTTAAAGGGTATAGCCGGACGGCTATACGCATTACATATAATAAATTAGAATATATTTAAACGGTATAGCCGCTCGGTCATACTCATTAAATATAATAAATTGGAATATTTAAAGAGTATATCCGCCGGCTATACTATTGAATTATAATAAATTCGAATATTTAAAGGGTATAGCCCGGCGGCTATACTCATTACATTTAATAAATTCCAATATATTTGAAGGGTACAGCCGATCGGCTATACGCTTGAATCGAATATTTAAAGAGTATAGCCGGTCGGCTATACTCATTACATATAATATTTAAAGAAGCTAGCTAACTGAGTAATTAATTGCGCTTTATATTGCTGATTTAGTTGATTGAGAGTTTATATCTTTGATTACTGGAAAATTAGTTATGTCTGTTCAATTTATTATGTTTGACTCTGATATTTATATAGTCAATATTTCCATGGTCATGTTCGCACAAGAAATGAGGGACATAGAGGATTTATCAATCTATCAGCTAATTCTTAATTTGTCATTTGAATTTAGGAGTATGTTGTTGAAAGCACTCAAGTTAACATCCATGAGGAATTGTTTGAATATATTTAAAGAGTATAGCCGCTCGGCTGTACTATTTGAACATAGTTAGAAAGTATAGCCGTGCGGCTGTACGTTGATAATTTCTATTTACAGAGTCTAGCCTTGCGGCTATAATGGAAGCGTATCATACGAAAGAAGACGTATCAATCCAAATGAAACGAAATGAGAATACAGTATGCTGATTATTTGCTGATATGCTCTACGTTTTACTTGTTTGGCAGATTGGGGACCGAAGGTTGATGTTGTTTTTTGTTTTCTTGACCTTGCTTCAAATTATGAACCCCCAGATTCACTTGCGTAGTGGCTTGAAGCTGGTGAACAGCCTGTCTATATTGGATTTAATAGCCTTGTGAGTTTATTGCAGCTTTCTCTATTCATGTTTAATATTCTTTTCCCAGTTCTATCCCCGGGTAGCTCTGTTTGTCCTTACCCTGAAAGAATTACTTGTTCCTTCCCAATTAAAACAATCAACCAAAGCCACATTCTCCAAAGAGTGACCACCTTCATGTTGGTCCCCAACAAACAGGTTGTGGAGGTCTATTCATGACAGATGACAAATCGACCCTTTGGTTGTTCAGTTGTTCAATATCTAATTTGACTGAGGCATGTCTAATACATGCAGAGTATACCCCTGAATTGCATAGTTAAGGTTACATGATTGTACATTTGGTTGAAATGGTAATTGACTTGCTTGCTCAATTTTTTTTTTATGTGTATTGTATTAGCCTCTTGAAGAACCAAAGTAAATGACCAATATTATTCTTCAAGCTCTGGAAATAACTGGACAGAGAGGCGTCATCAACCGAGACTGGGGTGGCCTTGGTAATATTGTAAGTCTCGATTCTTAAAAACAGATTACTTTCAAGCACATTGTATTCTTATGCTTCTTTACATCTGAAAGCCTTCATATATTTCTCTTCTCAGTGGCAGAACCAAGTGATTCTGTGTATTTAGTGGACAATTGCCCCCATGATTGGCTATTCCAACGATGCTCTGCTGTGGTAAATTTCAATGCTTTTAATTCTTTTTAATTTGGTTGGGATTTCACTGCACTGGTGTTCAGAACGTCACATGAACTTGATGCACCTTTTTGTCGTTTTGTTGTTTTGTTCCCCCCTTGGATAACTAGGCTACTCCCGGTTTCTCACTGGATATGAAAAAAATTTCTTAGGTGCATCATGGTGGTGCTGGGACAATTGCTGCTAGTCTGAAAGCTGCGGTAACTGATAATGCTATATTCTCGGGGAGTCTTACATTTGTAAATGATTCAGTTACTCATTTGGCTCATATTCTGTGTTCTTTTTAGTCTCCAACCACAATTGTACCATTCTTTGGGGACCAGCTATTTTGGGGGGAGAGGGTGCATGCCAGAGGAGTAGGT